TGTTCATTGCACATGTGCCCAAAATAGGGAGGGGCTCTATGACCCTGTCTCACTATGGAGATTGCATTTCCTGCTCCACCTCCACCCTGGGCCACCTAACTACCCAGGAAGCACCATGTTGTTACTCTCCTGACCTTAGCTGACTTCTCCAGCAGCAGGCATGTGGATTCAAGCCAGGCCTGTCAGTCTTTCCCTGAGATCTTTCAAAATGAAACAAGAAAAGGTAGAGTGGTAGGATGTAAAACTCTGCCATGTTGGCAGTCATGATCTCCATTTTGACGGAGGACACTGCTGTGAGAGAGGAGGATGATGTGCAGAGAGGAGCAGGGAGGAGTCCTGGGCAGCGAGAGTCCTCCTGGCACTAGAGTCTGGCCTCTGCAGTTCCTCCTGAGGCTCGGCTGCACCCTGCCTGCTAACCACCAGCCCTTCTTTGGAAACCACATGACAGTGGATACCTGCTTTACATGTGAGCTAGTTTCAGTTGCATTCTGTTAGTGGCAACCCAAAGGCCCCTACTGTACTCATCTTGGCATTGTCCCCATGGTGCCATTAAGATTCCAAAAAAATTTGTAAGCCTAGGAACCCCTAGTTTAAAAAAAAATCTTATTTGAAACTCCACTATGTGAAATAGATGATGTAGTATAGACTGTACAAAACGGATGACCTGGTGCTAAATCTCCACTCTAACAACTCTTAGCTATGTGACCAAGGCCGGGACACTTCCCTCTCAGCTTCAGTTTCCTTCTGTATAAAATATGGAGAATAGAAAATGGGTTTCAATGAGTTAGTATATACGAGGGGAGGGGGACCCTCCCAAAACTGAATTTATTTATTAAAAGTTGTGTATTTATTCTTACAAATTTAAACTTCGATCACCTTCAAATACTCTTCTTTTGATGCAATACACCCATTGAGATGTTTTCTCCACTGCTCAAAACAGATTTTGAACTCATCAATTTTGATAGCTTTTAGTGCTTTTGCCATTTTTTGTTTCACCTCTTCCACATTGGCAAAATGTTTCCCTTTGAGGACTTTTTCATTGGGGAAACAAAAACAAGTCGCTTGGGGTGAGATTGGGTGGAGCATGGGGGTCATGCTGGTTTTGGTCCAAAACTGCTGAACACTCAGTGCATTATGGGCAAGTAAACTTGTAAATCACCCATCATGAAAAGAGCAAAAGAATTCCCTCCCCCCAAAATTCACTGAAGCCAAACACAGTTTCTCACAACAATGCTAGTTGGTACACTGATCCTGATGGGTTTTCAGAATGCTTAGCTAGCAGGTGAAGCCTGTACTACAAGGGGCCCTCCCTTCAAAAAATAATTCTAGTTTTTTTGGGATCCTCCGGTATACAAATCACTTAATACAGTGCCAGTGATATAACAATCACTGAAAAAATATGAGCTATTATATGGAAGCAGGGGCAGGGAAACATAGAGCAACTGCCACCCTCAGCTTCCTTCTCACCTCTTCCCTTACAATAATGCGTTTGGTACATGTGTACTGTTTAAATTATTTTAAATGATTGACTGTGAATATATGTCTTCCTGCCTAGAGTGGAAACTCACAAAGACAAGGAGCATCTTTGTCTTGGTCACTGTTTTTCTCTAGGTCTGGCTGTCTAGCATAGTAACTAGCCCATGGAAGGTGTCCAATAACTACTTGTTAACTAATAGATATGTGTCATTTCATTAAAAAAAATCAAACAAACAAACAAACAAAAAACCAGGTACCACACATGTTACCAAATCTGGTGCCTTTTGCAGCAGAATCAGAAAAGTCATAATAAGAGCAAAAGGCTTGATTTATAGGACATCCCACTCAGAACTAAAGTAAATTCTTTTGGTTTGGTTAGTTATGTAACTTAGAAATATTGAGGTTTTCCTAATTTTAAAACATGATGTAACTTACAAGATACATTTCAAGCAATAATAAGAGAAAAATCCATAGCCATAAAAACTTAGATCAGTAAAAATGAATAAAAAAGAATTAAATTCCCAACACAAAGAAGAACAGAAACTTCCAACAAAGCAAAACAAACTAACATGCTAGGACAGAAATAATAAAGAAAAAATAAGAAGTTAATGAAATAGAGAATAGGAAGACAATAGATCTATAGAGTTAAAATCCTAGTTATTTGAAAAAAATTAACAACATAGACAAATCACAAAGTAACTCAATAAAGGAAAAAAGGAGCAATTTCAAATATAAACCTAAGAAGTTACAATGGAAAAATAACCATTAAAAAGCAGAAAACTTCAAATTTCATGAGACTACTTTGCAAATCTCAATGCAAATAAACCCGATAATGTAAATGAAATGGATAATTACCTAGAGAAATATAGTTCAGCAAAATGACCCCATTAGAGACAGAAGACTTCAACAGACCACTTTTTGTATAAGAAACAGAGAAAATTAGCCGGGCTCGGTAGCTCAGCCTGTAATCCCACGCCTTTGGGAGGCTGAGGTGAGTGGACTGCCTGAGCCTGCGGGTTCGAGACCCACCTGGGCAACTTGGCGAGACCTCACCTCTACAATAAATCAAAAAAATTAGCTGGGCGTGGTAGCGCGCGCCTGTAGTTCCAGCTACTTGGAAGGCTGAGGCGGAAAGATCGCCGGAGCCCAGCAGGTCGAGGCTGTGGTGGCTGGGAGCGGCTACTG